GCGCCGGGGGGGCGAAGCGGCGGGACGGATGTGGGGCAAGCGGGCGACTCCGCTCGCGGTCACCTCAGCGGCGGGCCCCCGGGCAACAGTGCAAGCGAAGCCCAGGCCTTGCTCAGCGCATCCGCTCGAGGTGAAGGAAAATCTTATTAAGCAGCGTACGTGCAGGAACAGCGAGGGATCAAACCTCTGAACCTGCATGTCACTCGAAACCTGCCTTCTAAAGGAGCAGTTGTACTAATGCCTATAAATGCCACTTTCCTCGATTCTCACCCTCCCATGTTTCAGACTGCAGTCTTGTTCAGCAGGAGCTGAATTTCTTTCCTTCTGTATCAGCAATTAGAGGGCCATTCACAGAACCGGTAATTTCATTTAATTGCAGGGCTGTTTTCAACATGCAGCTGCTCTCAATTATACACGTATAAAGCAGTAAAGACCAAATTTCCTTTTACAGAAAAGTTCATCCAAAGTACTGTTACCAACAGCCCTGAAACTGCCTTCACTCCTACCCTGTTCAACCTCAGCTCTACCTCACCAGCACTGGTGGGGTAAGCACCCTGTCCTCAAGCTCCAGCATTCATGTATGACCCTAAGACATCACACAGCAAATTCAGTGCTGTTTGGCCACAACACACCTGGAGAACCTCTGAAATGTCATCCTTTACTGTCAAATACACAAAATAGTTGAAAAAGCCATCATTTAAGAGGATTACAGAGATTTGTGGCCAGAAATAGCTTATTTCAAATGTCTGATCAAATAACAAATATATACAGTTCACAAAATTAACATGTTCATTTAAAACCAAGAACATATTTAAGTGTTAAAGATCAGTGGAAAAAAAAGAAGTACAATGGTCATTAGCTGCATGTGTTCAGGACGGCACTACTCTAACATTGGTTGAAACATTTATAGGGAAAAAAAGCCTTTAAGTAAAAAAAAAAAGAGTATAAAAAGCTTTTTAAATAAGTATTTTTTACATAGTCAACATCAAAACACAAGAATATTTAAATGCTAGTCAGACACACGGCATCAAGACTTTTTAAAGGAGAAGACACAACAAGGGTTTAATTTTAGCAGTTCTTTAATGGTGTCAGATAGGAAAACATCTATTCTTGCATCTTTTCGATTGTTTCTTCCTTGTATTTGCCCTTCTCCTTGCCAACCTGTCGAGATTTTGCTTTACGCTCCAAGATCTTTTTACGATCTTTGTCCAGTTTTAGCCTAGTGATCACCACCTAGAGAAAGAACAAAGAGTTTAGTGTCTCTTCAATGTTAAAATACAGCAACCTGACAGAACTGTGGTAACACAGCACAGCCCAGGAAGATCACTGCTGACAGGCAGCACCAAATCACCCAAGTTTTATCTACACAGACTATCTAATTTGCTTTGAGTGGAACAGAAGTACCGAATTGCCTTCTGTATTTAAAAACACTGAGCTATATTAATTTTTCTGGGTACATTCAGGGATTAGAACATAAGGACAGCTTTTTCAATGCACAGCCACAACATTTGGACAAAGTGAAGAGCAGCCAAATTTCTATCCTTCTACAGAATAATTACTCTGAAGTAAATCTAATTTCCATTATGCTGCTCAAACGTGATGGCTACTGCAGCTACCTAAACCACAGCATATACAGCTGAGTCTTCTTCCCACCACCACAAAGGCAAGTAATGGATGATTATTTTAATTTTTCCATGCTATCCAATGCTTTTCCAATGCTATCCAAATTTCAGAACACTGGAAAACCATGCTTGCCACTGGCCATTATCACTGCTGTACTGTACTGTTCGGAACAGCTAATGCATCTGGCTAAACTACAGGCAACAATAAAAGTTCAGGCACCATAATGACTCATATAAAAACACTTTAAAGAACACATATGCTATTGGGCAGTTCTGTCAGGCAATTATCAAGTATTACTAACATGGACACATAAAAGGTAAATTACACTGGGCATTTGCTGCCATTTGCTTCTAACAAAGCAGCAGCAAACTGAAGCTCTGATTTTCAGCCCATAAGCAGCCTTCAGTGCTCTTTGTGCCCCCTCAAACTGGCAAAGAAATAAACGTGTTTATATTACTGAAATGAGTACTTTAAAAATACAACTGACAATCAAATCCTAACTAGAAAAAAACATAAGATTGCAGCAGGGCTGCACATTCATCCTCAGTTCCACTGTGCATTGAGGTCTCTCTTATTTTTAATTAATTCCTACCTCTTTACCTAGGAGAGGTAGAAACTGTTCATCCACCCCCTGCCAGTTTGCAACAAGCAAAACATTCTTCTGTTCCTTTTGCATTAATAACCAGAAAGCTTTTATCAAGGTCCAATTCCCAATTGCAGAAAACTTTCACAGAAATAAAGCACCAGCACAAAATTCAATTTCCTTCACTGCTGTTTACCACACAAGTGGTACGTACACTGCCTCCATCACAATGTCACCTTGTCCATCAAGTGTTATTACTGCACACAAGTCATTATGTTGTTTTGGAATAATTCTGCTCTCCCTCTGCTGAACATACCATTTAGACCAGAAAACCTGTTACAACTGGATTTCTTCCACCAACACTTCAATATGCGTGGCCACATGGCAAAGCTGAAGCCGACTAATTTCATCTGCTTCAAACCAGGTTTTGGCTAGTTGTTCTGTTTAGTTTGAAATGTTTTCCTATTATTATCTAAACAGGCTTTGCCTGGTTTTCACAAAGTTTAAATATTGTGAATTACTTCAGGCTAAAACCAGATTCAGAAGAACTTAGCTCACAATAGCCCAGAAGAACAAATCCCAATTCTGAGCATCTAAATATTTCTAACACCTCCTTAACGATTGCAAATGCCACAATAGCAAAGATAAAGGATTGCTGTGAACCATTTTGTGCTTTAAGTATTTTAGCAACACTCTAAAGTCTGTCTCTAGCAGCTTCTCTACCAAATAAGCCCTAGAAACAGGGAGGAGTTGTTGGTTTCAATTGTCACTTCTCTACTATCATGACACCATAACATTTCCTTGCTTATGCACACACACACCCCCCACCCCCAGCTGTAGTATTTTGATCCATTATTCCATGTACCATAACAAGGTTCCACGCATGCCAGCAGCAAATGCCACTTGCCAACAAGGTCTCCTCATACATTTCAGATCTCACTTCATGCACCGTACCTTGCTGGGATGGATCCCCACGTGGACAGTTGTGCCATTAGCCTTCTCACGCTGAACACGTTCAATGTAGATGACATATTTTTTTCTGTACACCTGGACCACCTTGCCGATCTGCTGTCCTTTGTAGTGTCCCCGGACCACCTAAACACAAACATAAGGAGCACATTGTCCCATACTTCAAAACAACCCCGTAATTACCAGATCTTAAGAAACACTAATTATCCCAACAGAAAGCCAGAACTGCAAGGGTTGAAATCTCAACTCTGTTCTTTGTATACGCATGCCACAAAGACATCAATTACTGGGCAATTTCAGCAATCACAAAAATGGAAAATGTAACAGATCAAAACTGTATTTGTCTTTAATTTCCCTGCAGTAAACTCCAATGAAGGAACTCTGTATCTGGATAATGGTCAACTGCAAGTTTTTCACATATCACTGCATTTTAAATAAAAAAAGGCCACTTGGATTAATTTCTAAACTGATCTTTCAAGTATCACAGGTAGCAAAGAACCTATTAAAAAAGAAATAATCTTTTGGTTTGTGCTTTATTGTTAAAAGCCTTTAATCCATCATGATAATCAACACACGTAACTAAAGAGCAGTAAAGCTGCCAACAGGCTTTTTGTTCCTTGTATTTTCCTTCTCACTAATGCAACCTCAACTCAACGGACTGACTGAGTCTGTGATTACATTACCTTCTGTTATTTCTGCAAGGCTCACAGCAAAGCTCCAGCATCAGTCTGAATTTGTCTAGCCCTTCCCTTTTGCACAGATAATATGTGAAAACCAAAACACACATAGAAGTTCTGGTGTGACAGTGTAACTTAAACCAGACAGTGCAGCTACCTGGACTTCATCATCCTTTCGAATGGGCATAGAGCGGACATTGTATTTCTGCCGCAACTCCTTGGAGAGCGGGGAGGACATTATTTTTCTTCTAATGTGAGAAGGTGCATTGAAGTGTCGTTTGCGGTTCTTGCTGCGGTCTGAGGTCACAAACGGATTAAACTTCATTTTGGCTGCATAAAGAAAAAAAGTAGTTTGAGAGATGCTTGTAACTCATACTCACTACTCTTTATCGTCTACGCACAAAAAGTATGCTATAACATAAAAAAGAAGTTTTAACTATTTTTAATTCCACTCCCAATTCATATACACTTACAAACTAGACTTTAAATAAGGCTTAAACTTCCTCCCTGATTGACAATGACCCTGTGATTGACAGATCTGCTACAGACATGCACATCAGATCATTCTTTCTATCCAAAGCTCGTAGTTCTCAGGCGTCAGGACACGTCACTGACTAGTCTTAATTCTGCACTGTAGAACGCACCGCCTTCATTTATAAAGCAAACGCGTATTCCGTACTCGCAGAGAGAAATTACACCACTTAGGTACCTCCAAAACCGCCAGACTGCCGCATATAACAGATCTAAAAACTTTTTGGCCTTCCCCAAAGCCTAACAGCTGCACTACAGGATTGCCGTCACGGCACAATCCGTGCTGGTAAAGGCGTGCCCACTCCGTGATGCTTCTGCTCAACTCCCAACTCTCAGGCACTGCGCACCGGCACCTCCTGCGCGCACCGGCCGGGCGGCGCGGCGGGCCCGGCCGCGCTGCGAGCCACGCGCTGCCTGAGGTCTATTAACCGAACCATCCCCTCCCTAAGAGCAGAGCAAAGGGGCGGGAGCCCTCTCCGCAGTCCGAGCTCCCAGCTGCG